ATTCAATAACACAAAATAAGTTAATAAATGTCGCTGTTTTGTTTTATATCAAAAGCAATTATAAAATGACAAAAATACCTTTACAAGTGGCATAAAAGTGGTCAACATGGTGCACACTATTTATTCTAAGACTTCAGAGGATGAAATTTAAGTTATTTAATTAAAATCAAAGTTAAATTCAACAGTTTTTCCTCTAATACTGACAACATTTGCCAAGTTTAAGTCAATTTATTGAGTGTAGTTTGTATTAATAGTTTGTATTAGTAATTTCTGTTTTCATTTTATTGTTAGTTTAAGTAACTTAGTTGTGTTTTTGTGATTTTCAAAAAATATTTATATCAATATAGTGATATACAGTGAAGTGATATATAGTGATATAAATATAAGTGATATATAAAGTATAAAAATATAAACACACACACACACACACACACACACACACACACACACACACACATATATATATATATATATATATATATATACACATACATACATACATACATACATACATACATATATATATATATATATATATATATATATATATATATATATATATATATATATATATACACACACACATACATACATACATACATACATACATACATACATACATACATACATACATACATACATACATACTGTGATCCGTTACATTCCTACTATATAATAATTAAGTTGTATTCTAGTTTTAACTTTAGTATTAATTTAAACTATAACTAATGAGGTTTGTTTTTGGATAAATTTGTTGTTTTTGTTCTAACAAAATAAAAGCAAAAAGGTTGTTCTACTGTTTACTCATCTACACTAACTGTGGTTGTGCAAAAAAAAAAAGATTTATGATACATTTTCAATAAATAATTATCAGAAGTTCTGGAACAATCTATAAAGACCACTTTTATGGCACCATCTATATTTTTAAATGTTTACATCATTATGATTTACTTTGTTTGCATGGAAAAAACAGCGTGAACATTCTACAACATTCTTGGATGTTTTCTACAAAACTCCATAGGACAAAGAAATTTGATATTTTTAGGTGAACTATCCGTTTAAGAGGTTTTCAATGCATCCTGAGGCAACAGTGAGAATGTTGATGCCTGAAGCTGGCTGTATCTCCGTCATTATGTACATACACATACACACACACACACACACACACACACACACACACAAACACACACACACACACAAGTTTCTGCTCTGCTTCAACACCTTCCCCAGCCATAATGATCAGTCAAGTAGAAGCAAGTAGCCGTGGATCATTATGCCTTCAAGCGGCAGTGTTCTGTGCAGGTAGTACAGCACCCAAAGCTCTAAGTACCTTAACAAAAGACTCCAAATTGCCATTAAACAGCTTAACGTTAAATACAGAGCGTGGCCTGGCCCTCTGTGTGCCAAACGGTTTAGGAGGAAGACTGGGAGGCCTATAAAGAGACGTTTACACTTTTAATCTTGAAGATCTGATGCGCTGTAAACCTTAGCAAGCAGTAGTAATGAGCTCATATTTCACATATACAGTCGTGCTTAAAACTAACCTGGGTAAAGAATATGTGAAATGAATCTGCTTTCTTTATCCATTTTTTATGCTTCACTAGAAACAAGTTCACAAAAACCTAACCTTTCAATGAAATAACTGAAAAGGGGGCTTAGGGGAAATCAGATTATGAAATAAAGGTTTTAAAAATTATTAACACACCTAAAATTCTTGGTAACACTTTAGTTTCAGTAATAATTCTCACTGTTGTCACTAATGACATTTTAGTGGCTTTAATAGATTTCGTAGTACTTTTAAAAGTACATATTCTGCATGATCTTGTTCTACATCACTAAACTATAATACCTAAACCTAATTTTTACCTTAATAAGTATTATTGAATATTAAATCAGGAGTTTAAAAAGAGAAAAAAGATATCTAATGGTTTATTAATAGTGATAAAATAGTGTGACACAATTCCTATAAGTAAAACACCTCTGAAAAAAATGTATATATTATATTTATGTATGTATTTTATATTACAAATAAATATTTACAGCCTTCTTTGCTCATAATTATCAAGGGTGCCAATAATTTTGAGTTTAAATGAGTAGTTTCAGATTACTGAACAACGTTCTTAAAATGTAAAAACTTAAGTGCTGGACATGTGGTTTCAGGTTATATGGGGTAAGCTGTGAGCTCCCATTGTGCCTAGATCAGTGATCTGCACACGCCAGTGTCCTGTTCATAAACTTCACTTCCACAACACATCAAAGGCCATGGAAATGGCAGGTCTGCTGGGAACAGCAGGTGGTGGGAGAGCGAGAGACATACAAGACAAACTCTTTCGAGTCTGAAAGGTGAGCTGCTGTTTTAAATGGAAGACAACAAAGGGTTGGACCCAAATATATGTTCTACTTGAGTACACTGAAAAAATTCATTCATTGGATTTATTACATTTAAGGTAAGTGGTTTCAAACTAATTTTATAGGCTGAATTTAAACAAACAAACAAATTCAATTTATTAATGTTCAACTTAATTTATTTGTTTTCATTCAGCCCATATAAATTGTTTGCAACAACTTACCTTAAAAAAATATTCCTATTCATTTTTTTTTCAGTGTAGAGTACTATACTAGTATAGTATATTTTATTTTATAAAAGTGCAGTGGTCACTTTTATAAAAACCACTTGTTTTTATTGGCCTTCTATGAATTTTATTTAGCTTGTTTTCATGTTTTTTTCTGTGTTTTTTTTCCATCCCTTCTTTTTTTTGTCTCTTGTTACTATTGTGTTCTAATGCAATTTGGTCAGCATTGTAGCTGTTTTAAATGTGCTATATAAATGGAGAAAACTTGAAACTAGACAAATGCACCAATATGCACACATTATTAAAAAAGTAATATCCTAGTTCACTAAACTAATCATTTTAATTTGAGCTCTTATTCAGCCAATTTTTGTGTGTGTTTGCTTTCAAACTGTAGGATTTCTATGTGAGACTGAATCCAAAAAGCACTATTAGTGCAAAGCATTGTGGGGAGGAACCCTGGGGAAGACTGCTGTGTGGACATATGGTGAATTATGGCAGAAAGCAGTCACAAGCATCTGCTCGACTGTTTGGATCTGATCTTTGAATGTACTTCTTGTCTTTAACTATCAGGTCTACTCTTCTTTTTTTTATTAAAGAGACAGTTCCCCCAAAACTGTACATTCTGACATCATTTACTCAACCTTTACTTTTCCAAACCTGTTTGGCTTTCTTTCTTCTGTTGAACACAAAAGAAGACGTTGTGAAGAAAGCAGGAAACCTGTAACCAATGACCTCTATAATATTTGTTTTTCCTATATGGAAGTCGATGATTTCAGCTTTCTTCAAAATATATTCTTTTGTCTTCAACATAAAGAAGAGCAAAACTCTAAGGTTTGTAACCACTTGAGGGTGTGTAATTAGTGAGCAAATACTCATTTTGTGTGAACTGTCCCTTTAAAAAGAGGACAATAGATAGATTGATGAAATAAGTGATCGAAAGGCAGACAAAACAATGACAGACAAAACAACAGAATGATGAACATAATGAAAAATAGAATGATAGAACAGTAGTTATAATGATAAAACATCAGATGGAAAAAACAATAGTTAGAATAATAAAACATCGGATGGATGGATACATGGATGGATGAATGGATGGATGGATGGATGGATGGATGGATGGATGGATGAACGGATGGATAGAATGATACTACAGTAGTTAGTATAAAACATGAGATGGAAAAAAACAATAGTTCGAATAATAGAATATAGGATGGATGGATGGATGGATGGATGGATGGATGGATGGATGGATGGATGGATGGATGGATGGATGGATGGATGGATGGATAGATGGATAGATAGATAGATAGATAGATAGATAGATAGATAGATAGATAGATAGATAGATAGATAGATAGATAGATAGATAGATAGATAGATAGATAGATAGATAGATAGATGGACAAATAGATGGATAGAAAAAACGATGGATGGATGGATGGATGGATGGATGGATGGATAGATGGATGGATGGATGGATGGATGGATGGATGGATGGATGGATGGATGGATGGACGGACGGATGGACGGACGGATGGATAGAATGACACTACAGTAGTTAGTATAAAACATCAGATGGATAGAACAATACATAGAATGATACACAGAAAAATTGGATGGAGGGATGGACAGATTGATGGATATATGATTAAAACAAAACGGGGAAAGAAAGAAAGAAAGAAAGAAAGAAAGAAAGAAAGAAAGAAAGAAATGATGGAAGGATGACAGACAGACAGATATCAGAAAGATAGATAATCTTTACCTTGTAGTTGCATATTCAGGCCGGTAACCTATGAAAAAATAGAGAGAGTAATAGAGAATTTGAGTTCTTTAAAGGCCCTGGGGAGGCTTTGGTTTATGCTCAGTAAAGCACATGCAGTCGTCCATCTGTCTGGAGCAGGACATGCACACACATTCACCTCCAGGACAGTGTTACAATTAATAGAGAAAATCTACATGTTTCCACAGCAGGAGCAGCAGCTGAGGAGTTTCACCTACAGGTACCAGTTTAGCTATGAAAACATATAATCAAAGTGCAGACTATTGCCAACAACCTGTAAAAAGCAGACATGCTCGATTTTAGGGAACAGCTTTGTTGATCCCACCCACACAGCGAACACTCAGCAGCCCCTGACAGGAGCGTCTGCATTGTGTTCACAGCACAAGAGTGAAACGCTCCGGGCTCCAAAACACGAAGAGCAGATTTATACATGATGTGGGGTTTATAATCCTCCATACTATCAGCATTAATTAACAGCAGGTTAATATGAGGTCGCATCGCCCACATGAGAAGCTCCCTGTTGGTTTCTGCTGGCCAACTGGATTATGATCCAAATGTGTTGCGAAGATTCTTTAGCATTAATGGTCTACTTTCAGTTTAAAGCGTGACCTTGTGTTGGAAGGAAGGAAACAAAGAAAAAGAAG